ATATAGTCGAGTCTCATGTGACGGGCAGCCCAATCTACTAGCATTTCAGGTAAAGAGCGAGACACTAGCAGCAATATTGTTGTGACTGACGCACTCCCATTTAGTTAACGAATTGTCTGTGCGTGTGTTTGTGTCTGCCTTGAGTCTTGCTCTCGGCGCGTCGGTCCTAGGTCGCTTGCAGCCAATCAGTGAACTTATTCAGTTTAAAAGGACGAGACGAGCGTTTCAAACGACGAGTTCGGTGCCAAAACGGATTAAACGTGTTAACCGAGGTTTGACTGAACATATAAAACCCGCGATCGAACGAAGCTGCGAAATTCCAAGGCGATTGAGCAGGGGATTAGCGTGTTTTTATGCAAGACACAATTAGGCAAATGCAGAGAAACGATGGTAATGACACAAGGTGGATTTGTATGCTGTGGGTTGATCTAAACTGCAAAGATGGGTGGCAATTACGGATGGCTGTAAGCACATGCTTGTGCAAAGGCCACAGTACAGCGAATCCATCGGTCAAAAAACAAGTTTGACTCAGGCGATAAGCGCCTTTGTTTTCGACTAACTAATGTGACCTTTCGAGCACCAAGTACCAATCACAAGCGGTAGAGATAAAAGAACGATGGGAGAGCCAAGGTGTTTTGGTAAAAAATATATGCATTTAAGTTGTAATACCACGTGATTACCGAACCGAAGCACGTGAAATCTCAATAACCTCCTGTAGACACAACATATTTTGCTAAAAATATACCTTTGTTGGTCCTTCCTACATACAGTTTTCATAGAATACTGTCCGATTCGAGGAAAGTCTCTGTTACTTATGCTACAAAAGTCCTCTAATAATTGAATGAAATATGCTCTATGCGACAAAAAAGGTCAATTTAATCAGTAACTTTTCGTGACTGGTTCCCCAGCTCATCTGCAGACTAGTGAGCATATGCAACGAACATTCAAATTCCAAATATTCACAAAAATCAGTAGTCCTATGGACTGAGAGCTGATTGGTTGCTGTAGTTTCTGTCACTCTATATGACTATTGATTTTCTGCACGTTTGAAATATTAATTATTCGTTGCACATTCTCGCTACCTTTAAAATGAATTGGAGAAGGAACTCGAAAAATGCCCAACTAAATTTTCCATTTTTGACTCAAAGAACCTTTGTTTACAAATTACATTTCTTAGGATGCTTGATTTCCAATTTATAAGAATCATGTTAT